ACCGTGCCATGCTGCATTGATGCAGTAATTCATGCAAAAGGAGCCCCGACCAAGTGTTGAGTGCATACTGTATACTGTACATGGACATACTTTTCAGTCGGCCAACATTTCTGTATTAAAAATCCTTTTTTTAATTGGTCTTATGTAATATTCTAATTTGTGAGATACTGAATTTGGGGTTTTCATTAGCTGTGAGCCATAATCATCAAAATTAAAAGAAATAACTCTCGCCAGAGATACACACCCGACTGTCTCTCGAGAGTCAGCGAGATACGTGACTGTCTCTCCCCGACAGTTCACGCTCACTGTCACGATCAGGATAACCAGGGAAATTACTCTTGCATATGTCACAACTACGTTAGAGGCACGACCAGCGACTTAAGTGCACTTACGCGATGGAAAACTCCGACCTAAGTTGAAAGGACGCGCAGATCCGGGCCAGAAAGAATGACTGCTGACGGGCCTCCAATGCCCGTCTGTTTCTTAGTTTGCTGGCACGTAACGTTAGACATTATGGAGGATGAGTATCCAGCTCGCCTTCCAGCTAACACTAGAGGTCCTGAGACAGGCGCACGCTAACGCGTCACCTCCGTTGTAAATGGAGCAATCCAGGTGACAGATGGCTAAGTAGCTGTTATATGTGGAGTGGATGTGAATTAGATCGATATGCTTGGTATGAAATGAATAATTAAATAAGTAAATGTAAACTAATATGCAAAGCTCCTGGTTAGCTCCAGTCGTATATTTACAAATGTTTTGTATCCAGCCATGTTCTCCTGAAGGAGAATGTCTTTGTTTGTTTCTTACATGAATTAATGGCTGAGAGGTTTGTATTTGACAGTATATTGTTTCCATCTTGCAATAAATATTGATATGTTCTTGATCACTTTGTGTTTTGTCTATTTGCCTTTTCTGTTCAAAAGCTATGTGTTTTGAGGCACTGCTGGCCTTTCAATGTCATTTATAAATGCTTTGTAAGGCATAAATAGTCCTCACTTTAGATGAGGTCACACAAAATACTTTACTAAGGAGTAGTAACTACCTTAATAAATCATGAATTAATCATGAATTGCAGTATTAATACGCATTTATAAAGCATATATTAACATAGTCCCTAACCATTATATATATATAAATGCATGAATTTTGTACATCTAAATAAGTACCTAACAGCCTAAGGGTACATCCCAAGTCTCTTAATTGCATCCCCGTTTCCTTCACTTGCGTCCTTTCCTTGCATCTTAGACCCTCCCACCAGGGATGCATGGAGAGACGCAAGGAAACCATGCGAGGAGAGAGGAAACGAGGAAATATGTTTTAAGAGACATGAGACGTCCTTGAAGCGACGTCTGTTTCTGATGACGGTGGCTGATGATCACAGCTGGATCAGCTGTCAGTTAGATTTAACAGCTGGAGAGACTTTTGAGAAGTTTGTGTCTGTTCACATGATCACTGTACTTAATTATAGTAACTAATAATACTAAAACTAACACCTGACTGTCTCTCGAGAGTCAGCGAGATACGTGACTGTCTCTCCCCGACAGTTCACGCTCACTGTCACGATCAGGATAACCAGGGAAATTACTCTTGCATATGTCACAACTACGTTAGAGGCACGACCAGCGTCCAGATATAACGATGATCCATAGAAACCTGTGAGGAGAGAAAGCACAGAGAGTGAGTGAACGAGAGCATACAAACACTGTCCTAATGTAGGAGGTTAGAGTAAATCCCAAC